AACTCCCACTTAACGGAAAGAAACCTTGAGGAGAACCAGGCTCAGGAAGAGGCAGCCGTCTGCCATTGGCTGGGGTCGGGGGGGAGGAAGATAGAACAAAAACACACTGAGAGCTTTCAAATAAACACTTAATGAGTTTGAGAAATGGCCTCAATAACCAGGAAGTTCAGTCCATAGTGTCTGGTTTCTTGCTGTTTATTGTTTGTGAAAGACATGGGAATCATGGAAATCTCTGAAGGCTTTGCATGTTGCATGTTTTCTAAGAAGAAAAGTATCTGTCCTTGATGCTGTTTGGATTTGATGCCTACGCATACTAAGTATTTGGGAATCTTCGCTTGTCCCTCCGTCACCAGAGGAGAATGATTTAAATTGCTGTACATTTTCACATTTCCTGTTTCTGGACATCTGTAAAACTGCATGCTGGGAAGTAGCAGAAGAATGGAGGTCATACTTTAGGCAAAGAGGGGGTGTGTGAGAGAAGTTAGTGTCTGCATGGCCTCTGGGGAGCTTGGTTACAAGTTTTTAGGTGACCCTTCTTCTGTTCTCCTGTCGCTTTAGTTTACACCCTCCCATTGCTTACACAGTCTATGTACTTATTGCTCTATACTAAGCCCGTCAGCGTTTTGTATAATGTGTGTTGTGTCATGGCCTCTTTCTCTTTTTATCTATCCCGCTTTCCCTCCATGCTGTTAATGCCTTATTTTGAGAGTTCCCCCCAGGGGCTGTGTTTTCAGGGGCAAGAGAAGAAGGAATCCTGGGATATAATGTGGGCGTTTGGTAAAAGTGCTGAAAGCCATAGTCACCTTCTGAGACACAGACCACCTCCTCCTTTTAGTGTGTCTCAGCGCAGGGGTGTGGAGGCAGGGGGTCAAAAATCCTCTGACCTCCACGCCCACTCAGAACATGTGGGAATGGTAAAATTATCCTATATTTAACCCCCAGGTGTCTGCCTTGTGTGTGTATGTGAGTAACAGTAACTGAGTCATCTGCAGCTGGGTGGTACATGGGTTATCTTATAGGGTGGAAAAAAAGTGGGTGGGTTTGGAAAAGCTGTGCTCCCCCTTAATACACCACAGTCACCTCCCTGGGATAAGAACTTTCTCAGTTAAATATGTCTGAGGTTGAATGTGTGTACATTAGATATATGTGAAATCCAATCAAACATTAACTGTGTGGTTACAGAAAGCCACCGAGAATTAAATGGCAATCTCCCACCCTCTCAGCTAGATAATCATACAAAACTTAATGCAAGAGAAGAACAAAAAAGTCACCTTCAAAGAATAAAAAAAACATTTTTCTTCTTTGTAGAGTGAAAGTAACACATAATTAATACTTTTTTTGTTTTACACAGAGAATATTGGTGCTTATGTGGCTGTGGAGAGGGCATTTGCACATAAAATATTTAAATTTTCAAAGAAGGCAACAATGCTGAGTCAAATAAATTAATGCTATTACCCATCAAAAGGGCAGCTTTATATGGTTATTCACTATAAAGTGAAAAAAAAAGCTTGGCTCAGCACAAACCTTCCAAACATCTGACTTACTAAGAGCACTAAGTAATTCCCATTAGACAGAGAAGGGATTTTACCCCTCTGTCTTCTGGTGAGGATTTCTTTAAGTCTTCGTTCTCAGAGGAAGTCTGGATTCTGATTCATCTCCCTGCCAAAAACTACACAAAGCTGGGAGAGCAAGCCACATTAAGGTGCTCGTTAAGGCACACACTTTCCCTCAAGTATATTTGTTACCACATGCTTGTTCAAAGGCGCAAAGTTTACACTATGGTGTATTTCAAATGAAGTCTGTCCCGTGACCTGTGCCACGTCATCTCTTCTCGCCTCCATTTCTCGTGTCTCTGTCTACCACATTGTCCAGTTATGCAAAAAAAAGAAGAGAAAAAAAATGAAAAAGAATGAAACCATACAAAGACACCCACACAAACAAACTCAAACATAAATACAGTTGCCCCATACTCTCAACATGCACAGTCCGTACACTTTAAGACCTCCGAGCCAGCAGAGCGATAAGATTAGAGGAAGTATGTGGGTGTGAAATAGCTGCGGTGTGGGACTTTCTGGATTCACACAATCTTCACTGACTGCAGGCCCTGCTTTTTATTAGAGTTCAAGCTGATGGGAATACACAGCACTGATGACACCCACACTCATATCCTGCACAGATACCGAATTCATACACTAATATGTTAAACAAGCTAAAACTTATGCATCAATCCTCCCCTGTCTGCAAAGCCAGACGCAGCTATTCTTAGGTACGATCACACAGAAAGAAATCCTTTATATAATGTGTATTTGTGGACCTGAAACACTGCTATCATTCAAAGAAAAAAAAATCTCATTGTTTCCATAAATGCTGCAGAAAAGAAGCTACGGAGGCTGAAGTTGATCTCAGGGCAGTAACCCTGAGGTTGTGACTTCTGCTCTGGAGCAAATAAAGTGAAACCCAGAACCATCAGTGGGTCCATTAACAAAGCCAGAGGCCGGACAAGGCTTTCTTTGTTTCATAATTAATGCAAACATGATAAGCGTGACATTGACTGTTGGGCGGGCCGTACATCAGAGTCCTCGACACATGAAAATGAACGTTGCCATTCATCATTAAACACGGCTAATGGACCCCACAAGACTGAATTATTAAGCACAACACAAGAGACCTTTGTGCCAGATTAATGGAAGCACACAGGATGGCGTATTTATTACAGTGATATAGAATAGTGAAAGTGTTATCACAGCGATTGTTGGCCATACAGGAGGCTGAGACTTTGTGCAAGTTAACGCAACAGGAACACAGTCGCCTTTGTGCTGCTGGTGTTAACAGATTTGCTGCATATAAAATATCCATTGTTGCATTCTGAATTTGTCTTCAAGGATCAGGGTTTCTACTTGTGTACATCAAATATTCCAAACTATAAATATACTATGCGTTACAAAGAGGGGGGGTGAATGTTATTTTCATGTTTCCTGTGGGATGTAGTTGGTCTCCAATTGGTTTGATGTGTTTGCTGGAAACTGCTAGAAAAGACAAGCGGGGGAAGGCAATCGTGCAGATGAACAGTGAAAATAAATAAATAATTCATTTTACACTTTGATTTTTCTTCAGGATAAAAAGATTTATTTACATTCTTATCTATGTAGTTGCTCAAATTGGCTTGATTTGAGTCAGTTAAAAGCCAAATATCCACAGTTTTTCCTCCATACTGTACAGGTTGCAGCATTTTTCTGCCTTCCAGACACTGCACAGAGTGAAAGCTGTGATCAAAAATAGCAGTTGTTCTCTGTGCTTGTCAATAAGAGCCCTCCTGAGAAGCAGACTTGCTGGAAAAACGAAACAGGGGAGAACTGAGAAGGGTTTCTGAACTCTCAGAGCCATGGTCCACAGGCTATTGATTGTTTATTTGGTTGGAAAGTTGCCCTGTGATCACATTTCCCTAATTGAGGTAGATTACAGAAAGAAATACGATGCTGCATAAATTAGGTTGCATGGTGCTCTTCTTCTACTGAATTTCATGTCATAATGGTCCAGTAATTGGATTTGGTGTATTGTGCATTAGGCCTTGTTTAGGAAAGAGACGAATACAGACTGACTATCAGTAACAAACAGTAACATGAAGACAGGGTGAAATGTTCCTGTAATTTAAAAGGATTCACCACAATTTAAACAATGTAGACTTTGCAAAAGACTCTAAAGTCCTTATATTTATCAGTACAACCCTGTCTTTTAAAATAGAATCAGAGGCTGTAGTCTTCCCTGTAATGTCTTAATATCATAAATGCTATTCACCGCAGAAAGAGAGAGAAAAAGAAAAGGACAACAGGCCTTTGAAAAATGATGCTGGTCGATCTATACAACCACGGCGGAAAATTATTCAAGTCGCTAATTCATTGCAAGACAACAAATTAAGCAGAGTGGTTTAATTAATCAGTTAATATTCAGGACTTGAGGAGCAGCTTAGTGAGCCCGCTGTTCTTGGATGTTATCCAAAGGGACATCTTTAGCATAAATTAACACACGGGGCACAGAGACTATCGTTTAAAGCAAGGAATTAGTTTTATGGTTATGTTCTTCAATGCTGCAGACACATGGTTCTCTAGGGTGATACTGAACTAATGGGAATCCAGACCCTCATCTAATGGGGGCCATTACAATCCACATTGCATTTTTAATGAGACGGTTGGAGCTGTTGGCGCCTTGTGTCAGGGACATTCACCAGTGCTGGTTTTTACCTGGTTCAGAATTCAGTGATGGGACAGTTTTAAAGTCTTTCGGGTGCAATGGATCATAAAGTGGCATCTGGGGACGCGTCAGTCTCAGATATTACAGCTGTTTACCTCTACATTATAAAAGGTTTCTATTAATTTATACTAGCCTAAAGAGTTCAGAAACATGTGATGATCTTGGGACAATATGGGAAACATTAGCTCCACCTTAACCAAAGCCAACACTGATATCCTACTCATCCACAAATACTTCATAGTATCTTCTATCATTCATATTACTGTTAAGTGAATTTGTACATAATCTGCACTATCCTACATTTCCAATGCAGGATGTTTACTTGCAGTTAATTAATTCTGTATTGCAGTATTGCTGCTGTTCCTTGGCTTAAGGACCTCTGCTCTCAATCTATCACTATAGAACGAAGACTTGTTTAAATTTTACAAGGTACTAAGGCACAATATCTTCACCCTTCCTCTTGTCACCCCTCCTCCTACATCTACAGCATTCTTTATTGGATCTTTAAAGTATAAATCATGATGCTCTGCAGCAAACATTGCACATAGTGATCAGAGAGGGGGGGCTGCTGATGTCTGAAAACTGGTGAGATTGCATGTGTCTTTGTGCAGGAGACTTCAGGTTAAGGCAGAATATGTAACCAGGAGCACAGGCTGGCTATCTGCGGGTTTCACTGGTGTAAGGACATGCTAGGACCCAATAAAGATATCTTCACCTAATAATGATGTAAGATTATTCATGAATCTCATCCCTGCTGCCTTCAGACAGTGAGGTGGCTCCACTCCGATCGCCCATACTAAAGCAGACAGGTCGTCCTCAGCAGGGGGAGGGGGGGCACCTGCTGTCCCGCTCCTCGCTGCAGAAGCTGTGACAGCACATATTTCGCGAACAGCTGGAAGGAAAGGCAGTCCTGCAACACCTGAGCGGGCTTAACGATACGACGTCGTGCGTACTGGAGACGCGCCGATAGCTGCTCCATCCTGGGGGATCCCGAAATGATGCCCCGTGTGCCGGGCGGCGGCCGGACAGCATACACTGGCACATTTCTGTCGGCATGCCTGATCTCTGCATGTCAAGCCGCCCAGAGCTGCGGGGAGGTCCAGTGCGGCGTCAACCAGCACTGCTGTCCGCCCACCGTCACAGGGAACACCAGTGCCAGCTCGAAGGTGAGCTGCTGCCAGCTCTCCATCCACGCATTTTTCGACAACGTCGGCTGGTTCACGCGGAAGCTGTCCGGCATCCTGATCCTGTTGCTGCTCTTTGCCATGGGCTACTTCATCCAGCGGATCATCTGCCCTCGGCCCCGGCGGCACCCGCACCACGACCGCGGCGAGGAGCCGTCCCTCTTTCACGGACACACATCAGCGTCCCAGGATTCCCTGCTGGAGCGGTACCCCGAATACAACCTCGGGGGCTTTGCCTCTCCAAACCTGCCGGCCTATGACGAAGTTAAGTATTTGCCCACCTATGAGGAAAGCATGCAAGACATGCACAGAGACCGGTCCGGTGAGAACTTGTTGTCCGAAAACGAGAGTGGCGGCCAGGGCAGAGGGAGAGCAACAGGACCGAGATCCGGAGACCAGAGGCTGGCTGCCCTGGAGGTCTCAGGACCTCAGAGCCCAAGGACATCCAACTCTGTTTGACGGAGACTGGGCAAGACTACAGAAACATTGTTATTCTTATTTTAATATAGTCAGGGTAAAAAAAAATCTTGCAGAGATACAACGAACAAGTGCAATTATACTCCTGAATGTAAAGAATAAAATAGAAGGCTGAGAAAAATGCAGGACTACGTGTTTTCTGAGATAACAGGAAGCTGCTTTCCTTTTGTATGCAAATGACCGCTTGGGTTATGGAAAGCAGATTATAAAGTAAGCGGAGGAGGCTGAAATTGAGGCGCTTTGTGTTGGGAATAGCTAAATTGGCTCCAGTACAATCGCATTAAGCTTTTTTCAAACTTCAGCACCTCAATTTAACGGCAGCATGAAACAGATTTCCTGTCAAACTGAGGTCCTCTCTTAGTGCTTAATATACTGCCGAACCTGAAAAATTTTCATACTATTTTGCAGAGCCTTTTCTTTATTAAATTTGCATCCAAAAAAAGAAAATAGTTTTTTCAGTCCCCTTAGACATGGACTGAAAGAGAGAAAGGATTAGGGAAATATCTGTTATAATTCTTTCTGAGACACTTTTTTTTAAACCAGCCAGCCCTGGAGTCTAGCTTATCAGCATGAAGGCAGCAATCTACCCCCACATACACACTTCACTGGGAGCTGATAGATGAGCATTATATAAATGACCTGCTCAATGCTTGACATCTCTCCTGTGAGTGAAGCCTTACTGCCCCAGGTCCCAGCTTATGAATTCAAGAAGAAGAAAAATATGAATGAGATTACAGCTTCCAGACTGATAAGAGCTAAAGTTGCACTTTTATGAAGGCATGTCAGAGAAGATAGCTGCTGTCCCAAGGAGCAAAACAGAAAAATACTAGCTGACACGCGGCATTGAAGAAAATGTTCTTTCTTTGTTAAAGCAGAAGGATTTGAAGATGCCAGATGAGAATACCTTCAAGTCTGCTTTTGCAGATGCTAACTGTCCTAAAGAAACAAGAAGTTACACTTTAGCTCATCTGAAAACTAAGAAGATTTTGAGGAAAACATGCTTTCTGTGAATTAATGCCATACATATGTCATAATACTGAAAAGGCAATTTTGTTCATTTAGTATTTCTTTACCTTGTGATTGACTGGGTGTCTGGTAAATAGTCACACTCTCCATATCGTATTGTCTTATCTTTAGGGCCAGGCCAAAAATTCTAATGAGAATCTGCATTACTGCTGGATGTAAGCCAGCCAAACGTCTTTTGTTGTACGAACAGTATTGGATCATTTCGAATTTACAATAATGGAAGGTTCTGAAAGATCTGCATTTTTTTTACATATGAACTGAAAGAAAAAACACTTTTCAATTTATTTGCCCATCAACTTCAAGATGGACGAATGTTTTCAGTTTGTTGTGCAGAAATGAAAAGAGAGGTGTTTGCATATAAACAGTGCACCAAATTAAATCCCATTAAAGATACAAGAGCAGGTGTAAAGCAGATAATAACCATCAGCTTATCAAATCAACTAAACTGATTTATCCCAGAAGCTCCAAAGTGCTCATCTTTCATCATTCCGAACAATGCAGAACCGTATCTGTAAAGCTAGCCTTTACAATTAGAGACCCTGAGTTGATCCCAACTCTAAAAGTCTGAGTGTGATTGTGGTGGCTTTTGTAAACCAATATCGCCTGACCATAATGGCAGAGCCAGTAGTGATCACTGATGGCTTTCTTTTCCTGAGGGACATTTGTGGGCGGCTGGAGTTTGGACTTAAAAGCATTAAATCCAGACTAAAACAACCACTGATGGGTAGATGAGGTAAAGGATCTGAGACCCTGAGCGGCATGAGGCCATGTTTGAGGGCTAATGAACCCATGAGAAGTGTGATTGTTGCGCTTCATTTTCTCCTTCCTAGTCAGTGTAGTTCACTATATACTGACTTCCATTTGTAAACATCAACAGTAAAGCTGTATGTCTTCTCTCAGGGGAGAGGATAGTTATATACGCTCATGGGAGATGCAAATCTATAAAAACACAGGGATAAATACAGTATTGGTACACTCAGTGGGTTTTGAATCAGAGCCCATAATTCAGTTATCGTATAGCTCTCTGGTATAAAGAACAGACAAACTTCAAAACGTCAAATCAATGACCATTATCCTTCTCTATCCTCCTCATAAATTCTGCATTACATCCGGGAAGTGTATTTTTGGGAGAGCTTGGCTATCAATTTAATATATGAGAACCAGCCAGTCTTTGAATATAGATATACACTTCTATGGTTTAATAAAAGAAGAGCATCTGTTTGGCACTGTGTGCTGTGTAACTTCAAAAATATGAAATATTTACACTGGCCATTTCATTGTAAGATATTTGCCACTGGGACTCAAAACTATAGAAAGTCTAATCTAAATGTGACTTTTATATTCTTAACATTAAGATATGGCTGAAGGTAGAGGCGTGGAATTGAGTGAATCAGGTATATCACGCAATGCATGGTTTAAGAGAAAGCATGAACTGATTTCACATGTTGCTGTTTATTGTGTGTGGCCACTCCCAGTAATGGATGTGAAACGTGGTCATCCAGTTCCACCATTTAGCTGTTTTCTCATATCTATATGGTTTGAGGTGAAGGAGTTGTTTGGATAAAGCGTGCTTGACGCCAAGCACATGATGCTCACTTGCTTTGTGTTAAATTACAGGAAAATCGTCACTACTCTTGTATTATGTGGAATTTGAACACGGAAGATGTTCAGTGAACCCAACTAGCTTTAACCTCAATGACTAATTAACAGTGTTGGGACTAACGCGTTATTAAGTAACGCGTTACAGTAACTAC